ATAGTGAAGATCCATTAAATTTTGACACAAAGATAGAAGTACAGCTAAATTAGACCTAATTGACCCTAATAAAATAATTAGAGTAACACAAATGGTTTATACTTATAATGATATAGAGGAATTCAGAAAAGAGATAGAAGAGCTCAAACGAAAAGGATTAATTAGAGATAGTAAAAGTCCACATAGTAGTCCAACATTTATGGTTAGAAAGCATGTTGAAATTAAATGAGGGAAAACCAGAATGGTAATAAATTACAAAAAATTAAATGATAATACAAAAAGAGATGCTTATTTTATTCCAAATAAGTAAGTCATTTTTAATGTGCCTCCTAGTTCTTCAAAATGGACTGTAAAAATTGATACTGGTAAATCAAAATGGATAAAGAAAGTATACCACTAACAACCTTTAGTGCCCCACAAGAACATTATGAATGGCTTGTAATACCATTTGGATTAAAAAATACAACTCAAATATTTCAAAGAAGAATGGATAACATCTTTAAGGAACTAAATAATATTTGTCTTGTATATATAGATGATATTTTAATTTTCTCTAGATCCATAGAATAACATAGAATAGATATCAAAATAATAATAGAAAATTGTGAAAAACATGGAATAGTGTTGGCCCAAGGTTATGATGGCAACTCTGGTTAAAACAATTTACCTTTTATATAGAACATATTAATGGTAATAAAAATAGTTTAGCAGATACTCTAACTTGAGAACTTGCAAATAGCTTCGACATCCACAAGACTCACACTGCTAGAGAAGGAAACACCCCTAGCAAAGAATCAAGAAGTGTTAAACTTGGTGACACAAGATAGTGCTGAAATTATCAAAAAAGTGCAAGCAGCAGGGAAGAGTAAACCACCCATTTAGTTGCCAAAACTTTTTTACAATTAGAAATATTATATTTGTTTCTTCAGCTCCCTTATGATATCCAAAATAAAATAAGAGACTGTAATTTCGTTAAGTCATTTCTAAAATGGTATGAAGAAAGTGTGACCAATCTGGGAACTCAGTGGTGCTACTTTAACGGGCGGACAACCTTGCACAGTTCTATAATGTTAAAGGTTTCATTCGATCCAGACAAGGTCATCAGCCCAAAAGATCCTTTAGTTCAAATGTGGAAATTGGGAATAGTCAATACATTCGATGTTCTACCTCACCCATAGAGTACTATGTTCTCTCAGCTCAGTAAATTCCAACAATTCATGTTCAAGAAAATTTATGAAGTCTAAAAAGAATATTCATAGGCAGATTTGTAAAACCAAGGGCTGAATGGGCTACACACCGATATGACCACCCCACCAGCTTCTCTTTTTCCTTAATAACATGTGATCACCTGACCACAACCACCTATTTGTCTTTTGTTTGTTTTCTATCAGCAATAAAATATAATATGTAAATTATTTTATGTTTATAAATTAGGTTGAAGTCCAGACTTGAAATCCAGAAGTGCGTGTATAAGGTCCTTAAGGGAGAGCAAAAGGGGACACATATTACATAGAGTATACTTGAAACTAAGAAAGAAATCTGGATTCTCAAGCCTTGAGCAAACAATACTCTCGCAAATTAACAGTCTACAGGCACCCCTTTTTCTTTGTAAATTTTCTGCTCAATAAATAAAAATCTTTTCTTTTCAAGAAAGGGTGTGTTACTTTTATTGATTTTAGGTCTCTTACATACCCAAAGAAGCAGTTTCTAAAGTTACGGTCTACAGTAGGAAGTGTAACAAATCTGTGCTGACCTGATCTAAGGAAGAAAAGGTTGAGGATAGCCACGTCTATAAACTGGCACATAAATTTCAGCCAAATTTATGTTCAAATTTTAAATACGGTCAATCAGTTAATGATACACATAGAGCCTATGATAGGATTGTCGTAGGTAATCAATTCCTAAAAGAATCAATTCGATCCATTGAAGTGCATAAACAAAACGTCGTATCTCAGTGACGTTATTCAAGATACCCAAATGACATGTGGAGCCTACGAAAGATGACACTTGTAAAGCCTGCAGCAAGAACACCACATGGGATGGAATCCAAAGGATTAATTAGATATGATTATACCTAAACTCAAATAAACAAATAGTCCACGTGTTCATAAAATCAGATAGTTGGTTAATTAGATAGACGATTAATCAAATATGATGACACCTAAATTTAAACGACGCTGTCATTCAAAATTCAAATTGAGGATAAGGCCCTCTTATCACCTGGATGACCCTTTATAAATATGAGGGATCATCACATAAAAAGGGGATCAAAAATCAAAAGTTAGAAGATCAGAGAGAGAGAGAGAGAGAGAGAGAGAGAGAGAGAGAGAGAGAGAAATTAAGAGCCAAGGAAGTCGTTACAAGAAAGAAGAAGTCAAGAGCTTACACTACATTACAAGCATCTCGTTAGGTAAAGGGTTCCAAACCCAATTATTGTATTTTGTATCTAAGGGTTCTAAATCCCTACAATTTCAATAGAATATTTCTTTTCCTTAATTTGTCTTCTATTCATTTTTGTTCTTTATTAATTGGAGGTTTCATTTAAATAAAAAGTATAATTAACGATCTGGAATGCAGATCGGAAATAGGAACCTATTATTCAAATAATCAACATTGTTTAGTCCAAAAACTAAATAGTGGACATTTGTAACATGAGTTTTGAACTGCGTTGAAACACTTCACATTTCAAAATTTGCATCTACAAATTCTAGCACGCTCGGTGGGACCTATTTCTCCTCCTATCTTTTGAAGAACAAAATATATATATATTTAAAACTTACTGACATATTCTGTGACATTTTGTTCCAGGTGCCCGCTCGAGTGAAGGAAGTTACGCTCGAGCAAAGAATTGCAGCTCACAGAATCTCACGAGTTTACAAGCGGGTCATTTGAGCGCAGGAAGTTGCGCTCGAGCAAAGAATGTTGGGGAGAATGTTGGCTTCCAGTTATTTCACTATAGCTCCAAAAAAACTTCTGGGGCTTGTCATTTTACGCTCGAGCGAAGGATTTGTCGCTTGAGCGAGACCTCTGCGTCTGTGTCTTACGCTCGAGCGTAGGAAGTTGTGCTCGAGCGGTCTGCGCGATATCAGCACTTTAAAAAGTACGATTCTAGATGATTCTCTCAACTTTTCTTTTCTCTCTTCCTTCTTGTCTCAAGCCTCAAAAAATCCTAAGTTGCCACTTCAAAATACTCCTCAATCTCTTAATATCCAACCTAAAGCTCTTGCAAAGGGTGAAGAACACTTGAAGATCATCATCCTTATCGATTGAAATTTTGTTTGGTGAATAGTTCAACTAGGAGCTTGATTCTTGGACTCATAACTTGAGGTAGGGTTACCTTTAACTTGCATTTTTTTGTTTTGAAGAAGTAATGGTGGTATTGTTGTGGCTTGATTTGAAATGTTGATGTTGAGTTGAAATAAACCCTTAATTTACATAAAGTAGATTTTCCCCCCACTTTTAATTGAAATTTCCCAAACTCCTTTGATCAAATATGCATATTATGGTAATGGAAACATGTGTAAGTGAAGAAGTGGAGAAAACCCCAAATGTAATAGAACCCTAATTTTGAATTTGGGTAGAGAATGGTATTTTAATTTAAGTTTTTCCTTATAGTATTAGTGTATTATGAATAACAAAAAAAAATGAGATATATGGATATTATTGTGGAGATGGAATTGTGATTTGGGTAGTGGTTCCCTTTGCATATTATGTGATGTTATATATGCTTGACAATGTTGAGTGTTTGATGATTGAATAGAAATTTCATGAACTATTCATTGAGCATGAGTCCGGGTAAGAGTTGGTTTTTGATGTTGTGTGAGTTGTGTTGGTACCCACATGGGGGAAAGTTAAGGGTGCCCAATTGCCCTGTCTAGACTTATCGCTGGACAAATATGGAAAAATGTTTTTGGGTGTCCACTAGTCCTGCTGTATTGTAGTTAGCAAAAGTGGGAAAATGGATGGTTTTTAGGTCCCCACGTCCTGTCGTATAATAGTCAAATGTAGGAGAAGGTTTTTAATCAAAAGAAACTTGTGTTTTAACTTGGACTCTTACAAGGGACTCATGGGTTATTTTCTTTTGATGTGATGATGAATGATGTGGGATGTAAATGTGATTATTCAATTTACATTGTTAACAATAATTGCATGTGTATACATTCTATCTCAATGACGCCACAAGCTTATTCGAATAATTAAACACTTGGTTAAATGTATTCCTAGTGGGCATATAGCTCAAGCCTATTTTATTTTTTAGGAATTGATGATACATCACATCCTTGATGAGTTTGGGAAGACTAGTTGTGGTTCAATTTGGGAAAGATTGGTTCGAGTATATTTTGTTGTTAATGTAGAAAGCATTGTACCTAGACTCTTGAATTTGTTTTGTTATTTTGTATGCCCTTGAGGCTTATTATTTTTGTAAAGCCATCTAGTTTATTGAACTGGAAAGTGAGCACAGGACATTTTGGGAATATAAATGTTGAATTGTAATCTTTTAAATCCTAGTTCAATGAGAAAGATGACCTTTGGGGTACATTATGGTGTTTGTCTTGGTATGTTCCTATATGGTTTTGGCAGGGCATTACAAATTGATATCAGAGCAATAGGTTAGAATACCTTGGGCTCGTGGGAAGTGACATGTGTCATGATAGGGTACCTAGGATAATACAGAATGCTTAGAGTGTCATGTGTGTTTTGTGAATCTATGTGATTGTATGGGTGTAGAGTTAAACTTTTATGATATGGTTTTTGTTCATTGCACTCATCGAGATCCTTTTGGAAAGACACCTAATCACTGCTCTTTCCACTTGGAGGTCCTTGATTGCCATGGAATTAGCCAATGTCTTAGGAGGACAACTCATGTGTGCTTTATGTAACTGTGTGTGATTATGTGGAAATTTGTGTATTTGGATGATGTATCAGTATAAGGATCTGGAATGGAACACTTAAGTACGGAAAGTTGGTCCTGAATTTAATATTGTCTTTATTTCTTATAGACATCTAGACGTGCTAGAGCTCATGGTAGTCCTCGTCGGAGAGGCCAGAACATTCCAACCTAACCCAAGATCCCTTCGTAAGAAGGAGTGGGTCAAAACACTATACCCGTTCCACATACCTAAAAAGCTATAGGGGCCTTATCCAGGGCGATGGCAGGGGCTCTTCGGGAGTCCATGGAAATACTTAGAGTTGAGCAGGCAGCTAGAATGGTGGAAGGAGAAACTAGAGCGTCCTTTTTGAAAAATGAGTTCTTTCACTCAAACCCTACTGAGTTCAGTGGTGGATCCAACCCTATAAAGGCAGATGAATGGTTGGAACAAATTGTCAAGTCCTTCGAGATTTTGGACATTCTGAAAGATGATAAGGGATGCCAATGAGTTTGACTTGTAGCTTCATGAATCCTCGGGACAAGTAACCTATTCACCACCAATGCAGAACCCACCCTTGTTTCTCGAGTATGAGAAGCACAATTGGGTGACCCAGAAGTAGATGTGAATGGAGAAAGAATCTCCCAAGAGAAGGAGAAGAGGGGTCTGAATAGTTATATGGGCTCTAGTATTCATTACCATAACCAGTTGTTTGTGCCCACATCTTTGAGAGATGACGTTTTGCGGGACTTCCATCACTCACGTCTGGCCATGCATCTGAGAGGCACCAAAATGTATCATGACATCAGTCAACAATTCTGGTGGAGAGGTATGAAAAAGGACGTAGCTTTATTTGTGCCCAAATATTTAACCTATCAACAAGTCAAAGCCGAGCACCAAAGACCTGTAGGACTACTCCAACCTCTTCCAATTGTTGAATGGAAATGGGAGCATGTTAACATGGATTTTGTTACAGGCTTTCCTAGAACACAAAGAAGCAATGATGCCATATGGGTAATCGTTGACAGGCTCACCAAATCCACTCACTTCCTCGCCATGAGTATGAGGGATTCTATAGAGTTTCTAGCTGAACTTTATATTCGAGAGATTGTTCATCTCCATAGGGTTCCAGTGAGTATAGTGTCTGATAGAGACCCTTGCTTTACAGCCAGGCTATGGCAGAGTCTTCAGAGTGCCTTGGGTACTCAGTTGAATTTCAGTACTGCTTACTACCCGTAAACTGACAAGAAAGCTGAATGTACTATTCAAATTCTAGAAGACATGTCGAGGGCATGTGTACTAGATTTTAAGGGGTCTTGGGAGAAGCACCTACCCTTAGTTAAATTTTCTTATAACAATAGCTATCAAGCTAGTATCGAGATGACACCTTTCAAGGCTTTATATGGGCGTCCGTGTAGATTACCTGTGTACTGGATCGAAATAGAAGACTCACCATTGCTAAGATTTGAGGACCGATCAAGTATTTCTGGAAGTCCACTGTGAGTAACGTTATTGTAAAGATATGTTCATATGAATTATGTTCGAAATGTTATATGATAAGTTATGATTTCTGAAATGATATTTTGTTAACATGAACGAATGTCCTATTTCGAATCTATTATGGCATCCAAAGGAAGTCCCAAGTCATGGGAGATGGCATATTAATGTGGGTTCATGACATATACATGATTACGAGATCTCGTTAGCCACTTGACAAAGTGGTGATGTGTTTAATCGGTATTCGGAACCGATTACTCTAGTCGGAAGACGATATGATAAGTTCCGTTGGATGCAACATTATTATGTTCTGATATAAGAATTGATTCTATTATGATCTAGTTTATGAATATTGTACGAGCACAGAATAATCTTCTTGTATAATCCTATTGATCAAGTTCGCACTCTTCCAAACATCGTCACTTTGCTACCTATAAACACACGTGAGCTAGCTAGCTGGTGTGTGCCAGAAACTCCTCAGATGCCTAAGTTAGCAATTAGACAATAAACAATAAACTCTGTGTATTTGGGAGTAAGAATTACAATACATGTCCATAGGTTATGTTATGAGCTTTTATAGATTCCGCCTGGCACAATCCTAGTAGGAGTCTTACTCTCATCAGCAAAGTCCTCCTAGGAATCACACTATCAGGATAATGCTTATTCTGATAACACTCTACTCACTGCCAACCGAGTGAGATGGTTTAAATCTTTTACCTCAGTTGTCGACGCATTCAATCAAGCTAACACAACTATGCTCTACTCTTGGCAAAGTCATGGTAACCTCAATGAAGATGGTGCTCTGTCGAGCTAAACTTAGCTCGGCCCTCTTCACCAGCAATACCTCAGTCCACTACAGGACTACCTTTAGTGTCACGACCCGAACCCGCCCCCATGGGTTAAGGACGTAACCGGCATGGGAGATGGCATATTAATGTGGGTTCATGACATATACATGATTACGAGATCTCGTTAGCCACTTGACAAAGTGGTGATGTGTTTAATCGGTATTCGGAACCGATTACTCTAGTCGGAAGACGATATGATAAGTTCTGTTGGATGCACCATTATTATGTTCTGATATAAGAATTGATTCTATTATGATCTAGTTTATGAATATTGTACGAGCACAGAATAATCTTCTTGTATAATCCTATTGATCAAGTTCGCACTCCTCCAAACGTCGTCACTTTGCTACCTATAAACACACGTGAGCTAGCCAGCTGGTGTGTGCCAGAAACTCCTCAGATGCCTAAGTCAGCAATTAGACAATAGACAATAAGCTCTGTGTATTTGGGAGTAAGAATTACAATACATGTCCATAGGTTATGTTATGAGCTTTTATAGATTCCACCTGGCCCAATCCTAGCAGGAGTTTTACTCTCCTTAGCAAAGTCCTCCTAGGAATCACACTATCAGGATAATGCTTATTCTGATAACACCCTACTCACTGCAACCGAGTGAGATGGTTTAAATCTTTTACCTCAGTTGTCGACGCATTCAATCAAGCTAACATAACTATGCTCTGCTCTTGGCAAAGTCATGGTAACCTCAATGAAGATGGTGCTATGTCGAGTTGAACTTAGCTCGGCCCTCTTCACCAGCAATACCTCAGTCCGTTACAGGACTACCTTTAGATAGCCAGGTCCAGGCCCCAGTGACACATCTCTGACTAGCTTGTCTGCTTGGCCCAAGACCGGGCTATCTAAGTTCTTACCTTGGCCCATAGCTTGGCCCAATGATTAATAACAATAGACTTAGCTCGACCCAATTTATTCACATAAATTACTCTTTCAATTGCCCCTTAATTCCACCTGTGAAGCATGATTGGGATTATTGTCCTCCAGCAATGCTAAGATATTCAAATTGTCTGAACCGAAATGCTCAAGCTAACCGAGCTAAGATTTGCTCAATTTCCAGAAGTTGTGCAGGTCGTACAACCCATCTTCCCATGTTTTTGGCATCATGTCCTTATTGGGACACGTGGCACCCATCGATTGCCCCCTCTCACTGTGACAGTCGTCAATCATTACCCTGAAATTTGAATAGTCCCACCGTTTGTCATTCATTATATATATAACGCACATATATACGAACAGTTCCCACTATTCATCTTCGTCATTGCAACTTCTCACACACAGAACTCCAAACGTTTCACTTCCTACGCTCGAGCCACCATCCAAGCACGCTCGTCATCGTTGCCGGTACTTTTTCGACTGATTGGATCCTGATTTTGTGCTCAAATCAATAAGTTCTTTCATATCTTTCCAACTTTTTTCATGATTGGTGTTCTTCATGCCTCGGTTATTTCTGTGTTATTATACTCCTGTTTATGCCTGGGAATAGCAACTTAACCCAAAAATACACACTAAATGTGCTTCAGATTGAAATGACACCTCTGAAACCGTTAAAACTTCACACTCAAAGAGGAACATACAATGACTGGAGCTAAAACCAGCCAAGAACAGCTATTTTGATCCAAAATCGTATTAAGACTGAAGTAAAAACCTGTTTGTAATCATTATCCTTGGATTTTACCGAACTAGGAGTTCCCATCAAACCAAGCTAAAACCTTGTCCCTTTCCTTAAACCGGGCTAAAAACCTTAACTTTGTTTGGAACCGAGCCAAAAATCTTATGTCTCCTCTTACTGCCAAGCTTAAGCTTGATTAGTCTTAACTCTTACTTAGCCCGATTAACACCTAGGCATAACACTTTTTTATTTCAACTTTGTAGACTTGACTAGGTTGGCTAGGCACACCTTTGCACTTGCCACTTGGTGGCGCCGCTTGACCGAGCTACACATACTCGATCATACCAACGCCAAGCTAAGGAACTGAATGAGATTTTCCTTAACTAACTTATTTGAACCTAAGGCCATACGCAAATACCGGTTCATAGTAAGCTCACCAGGTGCCATGGCCGAATTCAAAAGAGACTACCACATTCCAGATGACGTCCACCTTTCCCTAGCCGAACCAGACACCACAACATGGGGCAAGCTTGGATTCGTACCCTTCTTAGTGCTATCCATCATAGAGGGTGGACTTTGGTTCCCATTCCAACCCTTTATCTGTGAGTTCCTTAGGCAAACCAGACTGTGCCCTACCTAACTCTCCACCAATACTTATAGGATAATAAATGGAATCACAGAGCTAAATCACCGGCTTGACCTCAATCTTGGATTGGCCGAGCTATTTCACCAATACTTGTTCAGCCAAAATGACGACGGTTGGGTTCACTACCTTAGAATCAGAAAGGATAGAGAGAAAATCGTTAAACACACGCCAGACAAAGACTTGAACGATGACAATTTTCTCTAGGTCTCTGGCAACTTTGAAGACTAGGAGGCCCAAATACCAGGTTATAACACCAACTAGAATAAAGGGACACCTGGTAGGTTAGTTTTCTTCCTTGTGCTGAAACTTGTCAATTTCCTTAGCCGTACTGACCATTTTCCTTCTTGCATATTTGAACTGGTTAAAAGCAAACTATGCCTACGCCAACCAAGCTATACTATGAGCCGTCCTATAGTACCGTTATCGAGATTAGGCCGAGCTATTAGGCATTGAACCGACCTACCGTTACAGCATCAAGAAGAAGAGCAGAGTTACAGACTTCTTGCTTAAGTCCTCGCCTGAACCTGATCCTTTTTTTACCTAAAATCAACCTTATCCCTTTCACCAAAGAACAAGAAAT